GGATCATCCAGGCCTCGAAGCGAGGGAAGATGGTCGACGTCTTGCTCAGCTGAGGTGTTCTCTTTGATATCTGTCGATATCAATCCATTCGATCCATGATTTTCGGACCTTCCTGATAGGGTAGCTCCAGAAGAAGATGATCCCTGCATGGCATTGAGCGCCTTTCTAGATTTGGTGTTGTGAACTTGTTTGCTTGGAAGTGCAAGAACAGCTTGCGTATTAATTGAATATTAATTGAATACATATCTTGCAAACTCTTCCATATCCGAGCTTGTTAAGACTCAACTTACATAGCTTCCAAAGCAATTGCACCAGAGTTCAATAAATTCTCATCAAATCACCCAAACTGGAAATGATGACACCCCTCCGACCAAGGCTCGCCTTGGGGGTTGCAGCTTCCACTCACTTGGCTCAACATAAGTTTTCCTTAATAATCTAGGAACCAAATCATTAGCGTGAGCCATCCTGCGTCCAAGGTAACCTAGCTTACTTGTAGCTACTAGCTACCTCAATTCCTGACTTAATTAAGTAGGGACGGGGGGGAGCGAGAGAAAAACTCACGTCGGTTCCGTCTTCGTCTCCAAGAATCGCCTCCCCAGAACTCTTCAGCAGTGAGCTGGTGGTCTTCTGGACGGTAGGGCTCCTGGGAGAGCGGACCAAGAACCGAGACAGGAAAGTCTGTGCAAGTCACTTGGACGTTTGGCCACTTCACCATTCGTTCGCACCGAGGCAACCTGAGCTCTCTCCTGAAAGCAGGCTCTCTGCAAGTCTCCGAGGTCACCGGTCCTCATCTCGAAATCCTTCACCTGCAAAGCGGTCCACCGGAAGACGTGAAAAAAACCGGACGAACAACGAGGAAGACCTCGTTGTCCAAAGGTTCCACCATCTGAGAGCAGTTTTGTTTGGGACGGGGATGAATCCAAAGGCGAACGCCCTTACATGTGAAGCCCTTGTGGCCCCACATACAGAAATTGGCTACTCTTTTTTCTCTTTTTTCTTTCTTTTTTCGTTAGACCTTTAGACCTATTCTTTTTCAATTTTTCTCTGTCACAAACGAAAACAACAATTTACTCAGGTCCATAAATTGAGATCGTCACCGTGATCATCCCCCCCAACGAGGAGCGCCGATAGCTATGACAACCGTGTCGGTTGGCTCTGCTCGGACCTCTGAGGCTGCGGATGCGGAGGCGTTGGGCGCCTGGCTCGCTTGACGTCGACGTGACAACGGGAAGGTGGGCAGTTGGTCCTAGTAGCGATGCCAGGAGCCCCTAGTAGCTTCTTGTTCCTACTAGTAAGGCACTTGTTACTAGAAGCGATGCACTTGTTCCTAGTAGCGTCCTTGCTCCTAGTAGCGATGCCAGGAGCCCCTACTAGCTTCTTGTTCCTAGTAGTAAGGCCAGGAGCCCCTAGTAGCGTCCGATCGCTCCTGCGTTTGGTGTTGGGATGTGGAGTTTTATCATTTGATTTAGTTTAGCTCCTTCCGCCGGCGGGGCCTGTTCCCAGGAGCGAACTTGTCTTACTTAAGGAGTGGGCCTCAATGGTGCTCGCAATACTCCGAAAGTTGGAATATGCGAGCAAGTGGAGGATTACGAGGAACTACTTCGAAAGGACACGAGCTACTTGAGGTGCACATGATTCCCCAAATTGGTTCCAAACACTACTGTCAATTCTGGAATTGCTCAATCTGGAAACGCGTCAGGTCAATAGATATTGGAAGCGTACCCTCAAAAACAAGCACAATCTGTCCTGAGAAACAAATCGGTTTAACCTCACGGCCAGACTGTCAAGCAAGGCCCATTGTGCTTCGCCGCTGCAGCCCATTCAACACACCGACAGCGATAGATGGTTGGCCTGAGCTGCATCTTCCTCCTGCCAAAGAGAGGAGACGAACAAACGTGGCGATCGGACACCGGTTTCCGTGGCGATCGACTTGAAGGTTCTTTCATTGAAGACATATGAAATATCAGGAGTCTGGGCAAATAGTTTGGCAGAGATTTTCTGACCCACCCTTAAAGAACGATACAAACCTACAAACCCTCACAAGACAATTGGAAAAAGGTTCTTGTTGTCTTTTGCCAACCGAAAGGCATCATGGCAACGCTCCTCTGAAGAAAAGCCAGCCCACATCTCTTCCTGGGCGATGAGAAAGGTTCCCCAAATCGACCAAACAATCCTAGTAGCGTCCTTGTTACGTTCGTAGCTTCTTGTTCCGAGTAAGGCCAGGAGCTACTAGTAACTATTTGCTCCTAGTAGCGATGCCCTTTGTTCCTAGTAGCAAGATTGTCCTTGTCCGGCGCTTGTCTTTAGGTTCATGAATGAGGTGGAACACTTTGGAGGTGCCTCTTGACCTCACAAGCGGAGCAACAGCTCTTGACGACCGCACGTGACCGACCGCACGTCGCTTCCGGGCGGCACTGGTGAAGAGGTGATCTTCGGGTCGGTAGGGCTCTTTGCTACAGGCCTGCTGCATCTGCCTCAAAGGTCTGCGACCGGAGGCAACCAACTGTAGATGGCACCTAGAGCAACGTCTCCTGCTGTACTACGAGCCTTTTCCCCCGCACCGTGCTTCATCTGAGTTCAGGTAAGGCAATGTCTACGTCGCAGTACATCTCGATCCACTACGTGTAGTTGGAGGCCAGAGGCCATTTCATTCTTGCGAAAAGAATGAAACAGCACACTGCTCCTTTCACATCTCACTGGGAGCAAAGGGCATCGCTACTAGGAGCAAGAACGCTACTAGGAACAAGAAGCTGTTTCACCGTGACCGATCCGCCCGGCACGTGGGCACCGTAATGAAGGGGTGCCTGAAGGAGTACCAGCGGCGACATGGCACGACTCCGAAAAGGATCCGTTGCCTTAAAACAATATGAGATAAGGAATTAGGAAAAGAACACTATACTTGTTTGGAATATGATACGGCAAACATATAGTGTACAGCGTATACATTGGAGCATTGCCAGTTTGTCCTGGCATTCTTCCAAATCGACCGAGCAATCCGGAATCGGCCTCAAATGGTCTGGCAGGCCTCGCCGCGACTCGCGGAGCTCAAGACGGCGAAGATCACGTGGGTTTTGTAGAAAAGCAACCTTCTTTCGAAAGGAACCAGGTTTTCCAAAGAACAGCCCGATGAAGATCGCGTTCGATCGCTCCTCCTAAGGAAGGCCAGGAGCCCCGAGCTACTTAGCTTCTTCTTTCGATGAAGAGGAGCGCTTAGAGAGCGATTGAGACGGTTTGAAGGTGAACCGAACGAAGCGATGGCCTCCAACCGAATAGGGATGGAAGTACTTAACGTGATGGGGACGGCTTGAAGGTGATTCAAAAAGTGTACGTGCTTTCGGCAACGCTCGTGAGGAAAAACATCTTTTGCAGCTCCCCATGCATTCCAAGAAATCCAACCAGCAATTATGGTCAGTGTCCCAAACAATCTAGGACCAACCAAATGATTAGCGTGAGCTATCCTGCGTCCAGGTACTAGAAGCCAACTAGAAACTACCAGTAGCCAAGAGCGTTGTCCCTTTCTCAATTGAGTAGGAACAAGGACGCTACGAACGGGGCTGGCCTTACTAGGAGCATTCTTGCTACTAGGAGCAAAAGGGCATCGCTACGAACGGAGCAAGAACGCTACTAGTAGCGTCCTTGCTACTAGGAACAAGGGC